GGGGGGGGGGGGGGGGGGGCAGGGGAATTTCATCACTTTCAAAAGTTCAAGAGTTTTTTGCCTCATTTAAATAAAATGTATTGACCAAAATCAATGGAATTGTATTGAAATTCATAAATATGTAAAAGTTTTATTAAAAGCATTGCCTTTCATTTGAAACTGATAAATTAACTGTTAGAGGAAAACTGACCGATTTGACCGTGATTGGTTTTGTCCTTTTTGCATTATCAATTTTGATATTTTTTTGGTGAATTATTCAAAAAAAGTTTAAAAAATGTCAATAATTTTGACAAGACCTTAAGATACTGAATATCATTTTGTGATTTTCCAGTTGGCAGAGGAGATTTCCAGACAGGATGCCGAGAGGGAGGAGATGGAGCGTGTCCGTATGGAACTCTACCTGGAAGAACAGGAGGAGAGGGAAAGAGTAAAAGAGAAGGTATGTAATATCAGGAAAAGAAGGAAAGAGTTAAAGAGAAGGTATGTAATATCAGGAAAAGTAGGAGAGAATGAAAGAGAAGGTATGTAATATCAGGCATGATATTCTACTACTCCAACAATGTTAGAGGTTTTACACGGCAAAAAACTTTTGACAGGCGCCACGTAACCTCTAACTGCCCATAGCTGATTTTCCCGATGCTGACTATCACATTTTCAAAGTTCAGATTAAGAAAGAGGATATCGTGTTTACATACATTTAAAGGGTCAAAAGGGTCCAATAAATATTTCTTTTCCATAAATCCATGATTATATGAGATATTTTGTGTCAAAGACATAAATAATGAGTTTTTCCTCATTCGAAGTGAAGCAGACAACATTTGCCATGATTTTTCCGGTTTGTACAAAAATGGATTACATGTAATGTTTCACAAGCGGAATACAAACAAACTCTGTATCATTTCGTTCCGTTTGAAATCCCCCCTGCTATTTTGTATTCATCCAGAAGCCATGTTTTAAATGTAGATCAAAGATGTGCTACAACGACATGGACATGTATTTTGAGTGTTCTATTCCGTAATATAATATATATTTGTGTCTGTGACATACATATGAGATCTATATTTTATAAACTGTGAGTAGACATTGTTGTCATGAACTGTTAACCACTTAATTGAGTTTTTCAAGCCAATTTTGTTCCGCCCGGATTTCGGGCGGAAACTGCATCAAAGAATTAGTGCTTCGGAAATGAGAGGTCGCAGTCGGCAAAATCATATCCGATTGAAAAAAGGCCGATCAGCGGTCTCTCATGTTATGGGAGTAGATATTCTACATGTGTTTTTTTCAGGTATTAATCACCACCCTAGACCATAATGGAAGTATCCCTGTTAATGCATGGAAGAGTCTACTAAAGTTACGGGGGGGGTGAAAGGGTTAATAATGAAACCTTTTCATTCTGCAACAGTTTTTCAGGGTGTTTTCATGAATTCTACTAGCTCACCTATATTTGCTTTCAGATTGGAAATATTTCAGCGATGTTTACATAAATCTACTAGCCCAAGGTGTAGGCTTGTGGAATTGTTCATCCCTGTTCGTCCAGCAAAATGTTTGGCCTTATAAAGGGGTTTGACAGTATATCAAGTTTAGTGTTCAGAAAAAGGGTGGTTGAAATATATTGGCGGTATTAAAATATTGTATGCAAAATAAAGCCTTTAATCCTTTTACCACTGTAGACCATAATGGACCCCTCCATATGATGGCATATCAATGCGTGGAAGAGTCTACTAAAGTTACCTAGGGGTGAAAGGGTTAAGGATCCTCGTACCACTGCCAAAAACTGGAACTAAATATTGGAAAAACAATTTTTCGGCATTACTAGAGCTTTGATAAATCATTTCTGAAAAGAAAACCATCCCTTGTGTGACATTTATGAGAAACAATTTGAAAGATGACATGAATAAAATATATTCAACAATAGTGTTCTCGGTGTAAAATCTCAGCGGGGCTAACCCAGGATTCGAACCTAGGAACTTTAGATTGATTTACTACGCTCTAACCCATTGAGATATCAACGGAAGTGTCTTGGCAAAACTGTAGTACAGTTAATAATATAGTTATATATCCAAGCGGAAGTTAAGGAGAGAACACTGTGTAGGAAAAAAATCACAGTGCAGGGGGACAGGGATCCTTGTGGGGAATGTTGAAATACACTGCAGTATTAAAGTGGTTTATAAATGAAAGAAAATGGGATGCTGAAAAAAGTGGCGGTATTAAAAAGTGAGGTGGCAGATGAAATGAGTGATATAATACAAAGATGTTTTGATGGAACAAGACTTCAAGAATTTCCTGAAAAAAACACTAAAAATCACATTATTTGCAATTTTTCAGGTCACACATTTCATAAATGTTTATTTGTGAATAGGTTCATTCCGGGGTATTCTGAGTCGGGAATAAAAAAAAAGATGACTTCAAAAACTGAACAGTCTGTTTTTCTTACTTTTTTCAGAGTGATATAGAAGCAAGGATACGACAGAAGATTGAATTACAACAGACACATGCTCAACAAATGCACTTCAAGAACCTCAGGAAGGCAGCCCAGGAGGAAGAGGAAGAGGAATTCAGAAAACAGGTAGGACAAAAATGTCATATAGAATTATTTGGTTCCAAGCAATGCACAATGGGTGCTGTGTTACAAAGCAGAAATTTATGTGATGATTTTTATAAGGCTGTTTAAATGTCCCTTGTTTATGTCATAAAATTTTGAAAATATAATAATTTAAAAGAAATAAAATGTCCACAGACAGTAGGACATGGTTGATCTGAGGGATCCAAGGTGTTGCCCACCGTCTACCAACTCCCTAACAGGTTTATCCAATGAGTCGGGAGCGAGGAAACCTGTAGTGGTTGTGGGGGTGGGGTATAAATTATACAAATTTTCTTGTACATCATGTAACTGTTCTATGCTTGTATTAAATCTGTCCTTTCTGTAACAGATGCTGGCCAAATTCGCGGAGGACGACCGCATAGAACAGATGAACGCCGCGAAGCGCCGCATGAAACAGCAAGAACACAAACGTGCCGTCGATCAACTTATCGACGACAGACGTTTCCAGTTTGCTGCCGATCGCGAGAGGGAGGTCATGGAACGTCGCGAAGAGGAGAGGATGGAACAATTCAAGAGACAGATAGTCGAGGAGGAAAGACAGAAGTTATTACGCGAGCACGCCATGAGGTTGCTAGGATACCTACCCAAAGTATGTGTACAAACTTGGACTTGTCCGAAATACACATTCAAATTTAGCTACCTATACATTTATGTGAAGGGAAACACTTCAATTGTAACACTTATGTAGAATTTTTAATGTAGAAAATAATGCTATATTAATCAAATAATAAGCCCATGTCTGGTAATAAGACCAGCTATATCCATTGAAGTTTGAATGTTCGTTCATTTTCCTGTAATAAGCCCACCTCCTGCTTGAGTCAGAGATAATGTGTTGGCCCCTGGGCTTATAAGAGGATATGGTATAGTTTGATATGGTTATGGCGTCAACTTAAACTTTAAAAAAATTCCAAAATGGTTCGCTCTGAAAAAAACATCAAATTTATTGGATATTTAAATTAAGTATTTCATTGGATGGTTGGGTGGCAAGTGAATAACGCCCCTGCCTTTCACCTAGGCAGCCGTGGTTCGATTCCCCGATTAGACGTGAAAAGGTATAGGGTCACTTGCACGACTCAGTGGGTTTTCTCTGGGTACTCCAGTTTCCTCCCACATTAAGAACCTCTGCACGGATTCCATCTGGGCCAACAAGAGTGATTAATATAAGTTAGAAAAGTTGTTTTATATTTGTTGTATAATAAAGGTTATATAGTTAAGCATTTCCTCCTGAACATGAAGTTCATTTTTAATGTGTGAATTGTTATACTAAATGTTGTGTCTGAATTTTTTCCATCAGGGCGTCATACGTGATACAGGTGACCTTGACATGCTCGGACCCGATTTCAAATCAGCATACACAGCCCGTCAGGTCGATCCATTCGATGAAGATGCGTGGGATCAGAGCCGACGATAGGACTGGGATGCCCGTGATTGTCATATGAACAAATTATCTGTGATTCACTCGAACTTTTGTTGTTCTACCTTCTAAGAAAGGAAGTTTATCAACAGGTGCAACCCACCTGCTGATTATAAAGACAAATATTTAAAATTGGAAGGGAGATACTGTTTATGATAAGGAAATGGTTTGCTCTTGATGAAATCAAGCTGATTTTATCTAAAGAGGAACAAGAAATGCTAAATATTTCACATCACTGTCAGTTATAAATTATTTTTAAAGAAATGAATATATGTGAATTTTTCAAGGAAGCAAATGTTTGTTTTGTTATTTCAGTAAGAATTTTTCAAATCTGTCAACAACAATAACTGAATAATATATTAGGAAAAGGAAGTATTATGCATTTAATATCTATCCGATGAGACGGCATGCGAGGTGGGTTGACTTTTACTTTTGGAGAAAAAAAAGATGATAAAAGTTATAAAGAAAAAGTAAATCTTAAGAAATATTCATTCAGTTATTTATGAAATGGTTGCTAGTGAACTATTTCAGGAATTCATTTTCTGGAAATAATTGAGAGGGGAAAACTGTTACATTCCACAGAAATCAGATATCATTTTCCATATTTTAGTTGGGATTTTCTCCCCTTTCTAAGTTATTACCTCGTCCATACCAAGTCGTTTGTTTTCAGTGCTAGCCCAAGTATATTATTATTCATTGGTTTTTGTTGATCTTTAAGTCTATTGTTTTTTTGAGAATCACCTCCGTAATATATTTGATAATGATTTTAGTGGTTTCTCTAAGAATATTACACAACACTAAAACTTATTCTCTAGGTTTCACCACGGAATTAGATGGTTATTTAAGTCTGTGGTTTCACTTATATTTAATGCTAGAAAATGTTCCTAAATTCTTACTTATAATAAGTTTAATAAAATATTTTAAATATTTTTTTGACTATTTCTTCAAATGAACTTAAATGGGAGGTAATTTAAGTTTTTGAACTTTTCTCATTGGATGGTGAAGGAGGGGAAAAGTGTGGTCAATGGCTCCGTCCGTGTTCATGAGAAATGATGAGTGTATGAAACATTGAATAATTTGACGATTATCCATACACATTATTTATCATAGAAAGATAGAAATTATTAAAAAGTCNTTAAAAAATTTTTTTTTTTTTTATTTTTTTTTTTTTTTTTTTTTTAAGATTCTGAAATTGTATTTGAACCTCTGTTTATATATTAGTGCTCAAATACAGCTTTTCAGAGAATTTCTTTTCTTGAAGTCCTTATTTTAAAGAATTTAAACTAAACTTGAGTGTTTTTTCGAACTTCAAACAATCATGAGCAAATGCAAATAGTTTGCAACTTAACAGTGATTACTCTACCAACATTTTCTGCAAGATCTGTTATTAAAAAAAATAGCTGAATCTCCTCGCCCTTCATTGTATTTTCATAATGTATCAGAATATCAGCTGACGGGTTTTTATCCTGATCTGTCTACTATTTAGTCATGATCTTATGTCAGAATGTATTTCTTGGATATAAAATGTGAAATTTTGATTTGAGACAGAGGTCTTGATTTAAGGCTGCAGTCTTGATTTGAAGATTTCGTTGTAAAACAGATGTCACAGGAATTAAGAACATTTTAAGAACAAGATCTTCATCAAATCTTAGGTCTTCATGATCTAAACCCTTTCACCCCTATGTAACTTTTATAAACTCTACCATAAATTGATCTGGGTGAGTCCATTATGCTTTACAGTGTTGAAAGGGTTAATAATGACTTGATCGTTACCAAGGTCTTTATAGCCAATGTCTCAATGTAAAGTATTTAATTTGAATGATTCAATTTAAAGCAAAGATCTTCAACTTTGGATTTCATTGTGGAAAAAAACGATTTAAATATGAAGGACATCATCTAAATGATATACATTGAATGAAAATCTCATGTCAGTAGAATCATTGTTACAAGTTTTGTTAACTTCATGTGTTTGGTCTAGAAGTGAATGTCGTAATGATCTTAAGAGAAAGTTCAAAAGATTGTCTGGGGCCGGGAATTCACAAACCATTTTGTTGAGTGACAGGGCTTCAATGGTTACTGCTGAAGTCTTGTTGGTATCTTTCTTTGTAAAGATAAGATCCTTATTTAATCAATTATGTGTATATAGAGAAATATGTACAAAAATGTACAGTGACCAAATAAAATTGAGAAAAAGACTATATCGGTGTCTTCAGTTTTTACCATGAGTACACCTCAACACAAGATCACTAATTCAGTGTATTCACTTGTATCTAAACATTCATATTGACCACATGAATATATACATACGTGTGAAATTTCAATTTATACAAAGAACTGAAACATTTTCAATTGTAAAATTTGGAGTCAATCTAAAATTCATTCATGACCTTAAGGCATGAATCTTATGTCATCAATTGTCTTATATGTATCACGCATGTCTGACATTAAAAGTATGTCAAGATCAGATTTATTTAGAATAAGTGACAATTGAACACAAGAAGGTTTTAAGATTTAACATGCGTCTCCTCAAACCTTAAAAGTACACTAAGTTCACTGATTTGAAGAGAAAAAAAACGAAAATGCATAATAGCCATTCATTCAAGCATGTTACAGGCCAAATAGGCCTCTTGGTAAATCATAAGAAGTCGTTTAAAGGTTTTAATACATTTGACCTCTATGACCTTAAAAGTGAGTCGAGCTCATCCATTTAAACACGTTTTACAGCCCTTTACCCATTCATGCTACTTACCAGTAATTCGGGTTAAACGTAGTGGTTCATGAAGGACCTCCAGACGCAAACTGTCCGAAGAGACAAGCAGATCTAGATGAGCTTTTGAAATGTTAGACAAACTATATTCCTCAGCCAAATCTTGAAGAAAACTACAAGAGAACACGCCAATATCAATAAAACCATAATTCTAACTCATCATCATACAACCAAAGTTAAAAGTGAACAAAGGAAGGATTTGTTTGGAGACAGTTGTCAAAGTACGAGGAGAGTGAGACCTGGGCCAGTATTCATGGAACCGTTCTCATGCTCAAGCATTGATTTTGTACTCAAATCAACTTGTAACTCATTTAAATCATGTCAAACGTAAACACTTAAAATAGTATTTGGCTTTTAGTCTCTTCATTCCAAGTCATTGATTCTATTATTAATTTATTAACAAAACAGGACAAGAAATTAGGCTTGATCACAAAATTCATATTTGAGCATGAAAACGGTTTCATGAATACGGGGCCAGGTGTTCCGGCAGGGTAAGCGTCCAATGCTTTAGCGATGATGCCCACCATGTAAATCTAGGTCAAATCATGTCACGTCCTCATAGCAGGAACCGGGCTATTGACATTGTAACAAAGTACAGCACAAGCAAAAAATATTGACCTTCCTATCACACAAAGAAATAGCATCTGTCCCAGTGGGATCATGATGACAACCTTAAAACAAGCCCAGTCCAGCTCAAACGGCTCCTTTGGACATCCTTGTGTTTTGTCAGCTTGGAGAGAATCAAAGTGTTGGTGATATAATGATCAGGGGTGCTCACTTGTATTTTCCGTGCAGATATACTGGAACAGAAATAATTATTGTCTATAGAATTTGTAAATATTGTCTATTTATGATATAATGATTGGAATTGGGTTACCTTAAACTCCCTGACTAGATCAAATATTAAAGGTCAAACTACGGAAATAAGATTAAAAAAAAAGAATAGCACTATATGGATATTTTTGGTAAATATATTGTTCCCATGATTCAAAAAAAGTTCAAGACGTTATTTCACCACTCAAGCAATATATAGTATATATTTACAACATACTAACTACTAATAACGATGCCCGTGTACACAGATTAAAGAACTCTGTCGCATCATTAGACATTAAAAAATATATATCCACAAGAACTGCTTTTAAAGGTCTCCAATTTGCACTTGATGCCTTTGACATCAGAAATAAATTTAACATAGAAAAGCCATATGGTGGAATATCCGAAAACAATATGAAAAAAAGAATAGCACGATATGGTTATATTTGGAAAATCTATTGTTCCCATGATTCACAACAAGTTCAAGACGTTATTTCACCACTCTAGCAATACATAATATGTCTACAACAGATCTGCTACTAGTAAACCATGCTTGTGTTCGCAGATTAAAGATTGAAGAACTCCGTCGCATCATTAGTCATTTAAACATATATCCATAGACGTTTCTTTTGAAAGGACTCCAAATTGCACATAACACCTTGGACATCAGAAATAAATTAAGATAGTTATGAGAAATTAAACGGTTTCCATTCATTCTCGAGTGAGCTTTCTGCACAACCTTCTCCATATGTTATCTTGGTGACATTCACGACCACAGAACAAGAAACCCAAACAACGTTCGACTTATACGCTGTACACCAACTGCATATTAAAGTCGTTTCTCCATGCTAGAACTTTAATATGGAATCAATTGCAAGAAACATTAAAAATCTTTAAACTTAAGAACTATTTAAACAAAAATGTTGTTGCCATTCCTTCCTATTACAATAACGATAATAGATACATTTTGTCGACAATCCTATCTGTTCTTGCCTTGCTGCCATCGAAACAAATGAACATTTCCTAAAACACTGTCACAAGTATCATGGAACTCGCTGACGTAATTGCTTTGACCACCTTTCTTACCAACTCTCTACTAATGTATTGCTATATGGAGACTCTTAACCTCTCAACAGCTCGAAATATAGAAATATTCGAGAGTTAAAACTTCACTGTCCAGTCTAAAAGTTTTGGTAAAGAAATACAAGTATTATTACGTTGAAAATAATATGTCATTGTGAAACCCTCATTTTTTCATAATGATATGATTACTTACCGTTTCATTGGAATATCAATGCATATTCCGTTACGTGTCACCTACCACACATATTCTTTTCTTCATTTGTTATCATGGTTATGCGTGCTGCTTTTTTATGGTATTCCCTTCCGGAACACCTGGATCCGTAATCATGAAACCGTTCTCATGCTCAAGCATGGATTATGTGCTCAAACTGCGCATAAGAACAGTTTCATGAATACGGACCCAGCTCTTCTTATCCTTGCTTTTTTCAGGGGTCTCCATGTAATACTTCCTTACCTCTTTGCCATAGATTTAGCGGTTTGGGGTTGGATCTATAGTCTTTTTAACACTTCGGTATTTTCTTGTTGTTTTCTGTATTAACGCTCTGGTAGGATATACTAACTATCCTGCATTTCTGTCTATCTACCAGGCCACCCTTTTATCCCGTTTCTTGTTGTTTTCTGTATTAACGCTCTAGATCTGGTAGCATACTTATTATCCTGTTTTTCTGTCACTCTACCAGGTCATCCTTTTATTCCTCCTCCAGGAATGTCAGATTACTGCAGAGTCGTTGATATTCCGCAAGTGCTTGATACCTTCCCGGTGTAGTATGGTAATATGAAGGCCATGGTGAAATGAACCGCGGTTCATATTACCATTATGGTAATATGAACCGCCCCATGGTGAAATGAAGGGTTCCAACGATTTCTATTCTGACAACTTTTTTCCATTCTTATTATTTAAGTTTACTTCAACTTGATGTATTCTATCTGAAATGACAAAAAAATATGTCAGGGGTAAAAAAAAATAGGGTGGGGCAGGGGCGCTTCACTTTACCATAATGGTGAAATGAAGGGTTTTAGCATTTCTTTTTCTATTTGACTTTTTTCAACCAAATCTGGTTTAGATTAAATTGATTTCCTGAATATGAAAAAAAAGAAGTCTATGGTAGAGAAAACAAGGGTTGGGCAGGTCCCTTCACTTTACCATAAAGGTGAAATGAAGGGTTTTAGCATTTTTTTTTTACTTATTTAAACCAAATCTTGTTAAGATTACAACAGTTTGATGCCCTGAATATGATAATCACAGAAATTAAGTCTGGGGTAGAGAAAATAAGGGTGGGGCAGTGGCCCTTCACTTTGCCATTATGGTAAAATGAAGTGTGTTAGCTTTTTTTTCTATTTGACTTTTTTAAACCAAATCTGTTTTAATCTAAACAAGATTTGGTTTAAAAATGTCAAAACAAATTGCTAAACCCCTTCATTTTCTATTATGATAAAGTGAAGGGCCCCTGCCCCACCCTAAATTTCTCTACCCCAGACATAATTTTTGTGATTTTCATATTCAGGACATCAAACTGATGTAATCCTAATGAATTTGGTTTAAAAAAGTTAAATAGATTTTGTTTTTGCTAAACCCCTTCATTTCACCATTTTGGTAAAGTGAAGGGCCCCTGCCCCACCCTGATTTTCTCTACCCTGACCTAATTTTTTGTCATTTCAGATAGAATACATCAAATTGAAGTAAACTTAAAGAAAAAGAATGGAAAAAAGTTGTCAGAATGGAATCATTGGAACCCTTAAATTCACCATGGGGCGGTTCAAATTACCATAATGGTAATATGAACCGCGGTTCATTTCACCATGCTTCACAATACCATGCTACACCGGTTTTCTCAGGGGAATAAACTTGATTTGATAATTATACATTGTAGTAAAGTTAGTTTTAGTTTGTGAAATTGTTGCCATACAATTGGGTTTTCTTTTTCCCAAATAAATCATTTCATATCTGTTTTGATAAATTAATAGCCTTACTTGTCTTCACAAAATATCTTTATATGTAGATTAAAACTTTGCGTTTAGTTCACTTAAGTCAATCAAGCTCTGAAGACCAGTCCTCGGGGTCATGAAATAATCTTAGACTCAAGTATTTGCTTAGTCAGTCACAAATGATGTCACTGTTTATTGATAAGTCAGAACTTAAGACAGTTTTAGACTTAAGATCGTTTCATTACCCTAGAGCCAGATCTACAGATTGCACACGAACGTTTTAAATCTGAGACTTTTAGTACAGAATTAATTGTTCACAAAATCTTCATTCCGAGAAACATTAATATATTAGCGTATTTTGTCGGTGTTTTCTGATACCTTTCATAACTTGGCAACAGACATGTTATCAACAGATCTATGCATAACACATCACATTATTAATATTTTTGTTCGTGAAAATACAATTAAGGCAATGGGTACAACTGTTCTACTAATAACTGTGAAGTGTTCCAATTCCCAGCTGTTTTTTCCTGCATAAAATGAGTTATCTTGGCTTGCAGTTACATCCCTTTACAGAGCTTCATCTATCATGTTGATACTATGCATTTACATTTCCTTGATAGTTACGTTAGTAATGTGTAGATGGAATGTGAATTGGTCTCTAGATTTACAACTGGAATATCTGTTCTTACTTTTTCGTTTCTTAATTCTGTTTCTAAATACTGTGATTCCCAACACCTGTATTTATCCTATGTGCATCGCAAGATGTGTTATGTTTTATACGGATTATATTTTAAGAAAATAATTTAAAATGGTTAATATATATTTATATATTATAAGTGCCTATAATACTTATATATATTTTCTATCCGTTGGTACTCTATTTTAAATGTAGAAGCAGCTTTAAATTCAAGCCTTAGCTACAGGTTCTTTCTTTTTCTGCATGGAAATCGGTACCTGCACTTACCAGTATGTTATATCATGTCTCCTTTTTAAGTAAGTATGCCAGCTTACCATGTCCTTATTAAAAGAGTTTCACAACAGCAAAAAATAATATATAAAACATATCTAACGTATGGTTATTTGCACTTTAACTGGTACTCTACCGTAAACGTAGAAGCAGCTTCTAATCCAAGTCTAAGCTATACAAGTTCTTTTCTTTTTCTGCCGTGAAATCGATACCTTCATTTACCATTATATTATGTCATGGCTCGTTTTAAGTAAGTATGCCAGCTGATTATGAACTATATTATCCCGAGTTTCCTCTGGCCCTGACATCAGACTTGAGACATTTTGACAGATACATGTCAAAATGTCTAAGTCTGGTGTCAGGGCCAGAGGAAACTCGGGCTAGAAATATGTCCTTATCTAAAGAGTGTTGCACGAAAACAAAATCTTTAAAACATATGAGAAAGGTAATGTATAAGTACGTTAGTGCTTGTTTCCCAATCACCGCGAACAAATGTCTTATAATCGTATATGTTAATTGATATGAATAACATACGGTTTAAACTAAAACGTATCTTACGAATTGTTATAAATTTGCATTTTCATTGAAAATAAATTAATGACAAATTTGAAAGGTACATAATCTGCCTAATGTACGGAAGGTATCATATCATTTGTTGAAACACAACCTAGACATGATTTCCTTTCTAAATGCCAATATAAATATGGACATAACATTAACAACATCAACAAGCATATATCGTATAAATCAAGGATTTATTATTTGGTTTGTGAATATCGTACAAGTCTTAGACAAGTGATATGCGGTATGTATAAATATATATGATACAAACTTTCAAAATTAATATACAAACATTATATATATATCATAACTTTCTAAGAAACCCTCTCTTATTTAACACATACTGATACATATATACACATACTTGGAATACTTTTCAAACATTATCAATTGCAGTTATATCAAATAACATAGGAATGTGATGATTTTGTGGCATTTAATTACTTGATAAAGCAGGGTTTTTTTTTCAAATATTCAAATGAAATGAAATAATATGTGATATTAATAACAGACATAATCGTATTAAGTTGAATATAAAGACTTAATAGTGCTCATTATCACATGTCGGTGACACAGTTGTTTTTGATATTCGGTTAAGACTCAAAGAGCGAATTCCAGTTTATCGATAAACATTACATCTACTAAGATAAACATTAAAAACAAAATGTTCGAAAGAATCGATGCCAAGCAAAGTCTCTTCTAAGCTTAAAAAGCATATTATACTAGTAATATAATGCTTTGAGGTGGATATGAATAGTCAATAACCATTAATTCATAATAATAACCGAGATTGCTGCTATTATAATTAATGTAATATTTTTTAACAACGCAACGACTATGTACATATTAGTATTAAATAACGCAAAGAAAGGATTTCTTATAACGACCTGAAATAAACATCAAAGCCAGATTCAATCAAATTGTTTCTATTTACCATCTTACCAAAAATGCGATGTAATGATTTTAAGGTCAATTATATGCCGCAATATATAACAATTTGAAACACAAATTATCCAAATAAAGATCAGCTTTGTTATTAGATAGGTTTTGGACAGCTAGTTATCTAGACATGCATTGTCCTGCATGATAGAAAATTTTATAAATATTACATACTGTAAATTTACATATTTTAGCGGTAGTCTAATTTTGGCGTTTCTAAATAGTTCTAAATATTGAGCTAAATTATGACTGCGATAATTAAAGGTTCTGTATATATTTTCTTATTGCATATTGTTAGTGCAACAATTCACCAATACGGTAATCTGTTCAAATTCCATAATGTGCTAAAATTTGAGTCCACCAAAATAACTATTTTCACAGTATTTTGATTAGATACACAAATAACAGTTACTATTTTGAAAATAATACATGTTTTAAAATTTGCATACAGTTTCTTAGAATCATGGACGAATTACGGAATATGACTTTTATTACATAAGCAGACTATACGAGACACTAAGTAAACCACATTGTTCTTTTAGAAATCAAATATGTACACATTATTTTGGACGCATATTTAACGAGATATGAATATATTAACCGCACATGAATGAAAGATAATTCTTATGTTGTCATTTCGGCTGTCTGGATAACACAATGTATGGGCTGAATTTGTGATTGTCTCATGATAATCTCAAGAGATTCCCGTTAAAGTCAGGAATTTCATCTTGAAGATATCGTTAACAATGGTCCCTGACATAATCATTATCATTAAATTCATTTGGTCAATTTTTTTCCCATACATTCTAAGAAAAAATATCATAATATTAATATTTTTTATTTATGCTGAGCATAGAATATTTAAATAACCGGTGATCCAGATATCATCTTGTGATCAGAGAATGTAAATAATTATATATTCAAGCTATCTTTTGTATATGGAATAGATATATCAAACAAAAATATGTTTTGATCATTGCTAATACTAAAACGGCATACATTAATTATCCTTGTAAATTGCTATACACACGGATTGATATGTAAATTTTCCTAGCGACTCTTTTATAAATTATTGAATTGAATTATTTTGATTTATTAGTGGAGACAGATTCTCTTAGTAAGTTTTAATTTTGTGACATTCATATTCCAACATGCTTTGCTCGTGTCCGTCATACAAAGTTGCATATTATCAAAGACGGAATATCATATGTAGAAGAATGCTATTCATTTTTTCAACACGTTATTAGATAAAACCAACCCAAAGTTGTCGTTCTTTACACTTACTTAAGGAATGACAACTCTGGATAGAGATTGTTCATTAGAGTGCAGGAGAAAAACAAAATCATTAAAATTGATATAAATAATTCATCCCAGACGTTTTATATTACACATTTTCACAATTTCATTTTGTTTAATATTCAACAACATTTCTAATATATTTTCAAAAATAACAAGAACGGTTAAGAAATAATTTCAGTTGTAGGAAAATTATTTATGATTGATAAATGGAAATGATAAGTAAACTAAGCACTTTTAATCCCAGTTGAATGAGACAGGACTTGTTATAAAAATAAAAATGTTTAGTTATTTCACAATGTAATGCTTGCTTTATATAAGGCAGTTTCTGAGACACAATGAATATTAATGAGACATTATAAATATAAATGAGACACAATGAATATTTATGAGACACAATGAATATTTATGAGACATAATGAATATTCATGACATATTGAGGAATATTATATACATATGTGTAAGCATAATGATATCTTTGGATAAACCTGCGTTCTCCTTATTTGGCTGTAACTTGTAATAAATTTGTCAGTACTTTAACCAAAAAACTCCTTTTTATGTAAATGTAATCACGCGAAGCCTTGAAATATCTGGTTAATTAATATCAAGAGGAATGCTTTTACATCAGTAATACCCCAGTATTATACATCGAAGATATCGTATTCAGGGCATAACAGCGACTTCAAACTGCCATCTTTGAAGGCGGAGGGCAGACATGACAAGTTCATACCTGCATATATTATCACCAAAGTTTTATTTTAAGTAATATTTCTCTTTTCAAAATTGACATTTTCAACCAAAAATTAACAAAAATCAACAACAGTAGTATTATGGATAGGAGACACAGTCATTAGCTACATAACTATTTTTATCATTTGATAGATTAATGGAAACTAGACATTGTCAGACATTGGAATTTAAAACAGATTATCAGAAATATAGTAAATTGCATTGAAAAAACTGACGATGGATAAATTTTACACAAAATATATAAAAACTATACAAATATACAATGAAATGTACAATTTATTGCTATATTTATAGAACGTATATAGGATATTACATGCGTTTCCAATTAACGATATTTATAAAACTCTGGTACAGAAACGAGTTGAAGATCCATTCATATCAACCGATCAAATATCTTTCGCAAATATTGCCAAATTATTCTTTACAAAGAAATCTGAAATTCTGCCAACTTTGCTCTTTGATGTTTTTCTCCATTGTGACTTCATAACATAACTGGAAGTCTAAGACGTCATTTCAATATCATTTTTGAAGTCATAATATGTCATTGCATGAGCTGGCACGAAAAATAAACAATATCGATATTTTACTTTACAATACTGTAATTCATGTGATATATATATATAATTTATTTACATTTGAACATTCTGTCAATATCTGGAATGCAAATAACAGTAAGAGGCACTATTGCATAGATAATATCAATGGCAGGTTTCAATACTAAAACTGTTCCGCCGCATAGTTGCGCACTTCATTCTCTATAAGATTAAATGCTCGATATTCCAACCTATCTATTACTGAATGTAAAAACCATTACCGAAAACATAGGTGCAGTAAAAAAAGATCTAAAACATAACAAAACGCTTCAACAAAACTGCTAAATCAAAAAAGCAAAAATCGTATTCCAGATTGAAGCCGAATATGACTGTTTTAGATGTGCATCGTAGTTTATCAATGAAGAATACTCAATCTTCAGCGAAATTTGAAATGTAGTGGGTTGAACTGCTGCTAAACCAGAAGCTGGACAAAATGTACGTCTTGACAAAATGTGTTATTAGGAACTCGAAGAACTCTTCACTATTCCTTTTCACAAACTCTTAGAAACGGAATAATACTTCGAATTCGAGGTAAAATAACTAACATTAGTGAACAGATAAGCGTGCATCTTGAGAAGCCCATTTATCTAGATTTTCCTAGAAATAAAGGTTCTACTGCACTTTTTACAACGAGGTAATGCTAGTTAGTAACTATACTGGCCGCACAATCAAGACCAAACGTTCTCGCGCATTCAACCTTAGCAACAACTTTTACACTCATATATACATCGATACCTCTCCGTATAAATACAGGTATTTGATCTTTCATAATTCTAACAAGGTCACACATGCAATTAAGAAAACAAAACTTCAGTAACTTTTGACCTGTATCTGCATACATAATCCAGTAGGCCATGCAACATTTGCATCTTTCATTCTGCACATGCATATGTAAATGGAACCAATGTCTATGCATAATCATGTTAATAGAACCCGAAACAGGTGGTTCCTTCAAAACATTGAGGCATCTGCCAAAACATGATTTTCGTTGATGAAATAAGATGGATGGACGATGGCGCTAGATATCATATTCTTAGTTAAATATTTTGACTTAAGACACTGCTTTCTTGCATGTAGATACAGCAAACTATCAGTAGAGTTGTCTTCCTCGTTTTAGCTGATCAACAGTAAACTGTTCAATCCCTCCATTTTCAACAAAGGAAGATTATATCACGTTATGTCCTCGAAATTTGTGATATCACATATTTGGCAGGTTCATTCACAAGCTACTGGATGCAATCGACATTTAACTAATAATTTGTTAATTCAAACACTTGCTATCATAATCTTGTTTCCCACGTTTCAGTGAATTCGTCGAAAATTGTCTGTGTTTCTCCCCTTAAATGGAGAAAACCTGTTCTTCCCACACCGTTTGCAGGTCTGCTATCGTTTACACCCATAACCTACAAAAGAAATATGCAATATTAAGATTTATATTTAGGACAATGTACATATTTGTCAAAATTTATCGATAAGTTAAAAAATGCTACGTTTACCAAATCTGGTTAGCTTCATAATAATGATAATACTAATTCGAGGTTTTTATATACCGCTTTATTACAACCTAGCTCGTAGGTCGTCTCAAAGCGGTTCACAAATTATTATCCGTGGTTATAAGATCATGAGATCAAACATATTCTTATCACGATATTTTCAAAAATATTTAAATATTAACCACAATCAGAAGATTAAAGCATCTATATGGTAATTTCTGTTACTGTAGGTTTTACAAAATACTTTAGCTAACTTACATATATGTGATTGTTTTCGTGAGGTAATTAAATTGCGTTTAACCTAGGGGTTGTTTTGCAAGCAATTTTCATATAGCAATATTGCAACATTAATGTAATTTTTCAATATATCATAATATATTGTATTCCTAGAAAGGCAGCGTACTTATGTTTTTTTTCTTTTATAGGAAATCCACAAAACTTAGCAAAAGATCAGCAAGCATCAATGCCCAATTGAAAATTATCTTACATAGTTTTGGAATTTTTCACACCAAGCAATTTTAATAAAGAAAATAACGATTAAATGTTAACAGTATATCTGTATGGTTATTTCGTAGGTCAGCGACATACTAATGTATTATATAATCGATCGCTGCAAGAGTTTAAGAGGTGCTTATCTACATTGTTTATCATCAGCATAAATAAATGTACTGATTGGTATTGCAAACAAAAGATCATTTTCCTACACAACTATAACCCTTTCAACCCTATGTCATTTTAATGAACTCGACCATACATGGAATTGAGTGAGTCCGTTATGGTGTAAAATGGTGAAAGGGTTAAACGGATCTTGGTTAAAATATAATATAAACTAAATAAATGAACTGATTGGTATTGCAAAAAAGTTCATTTTGCTACACAACTATAACCCTTTCAACCCTATGAAATTTTAATGAACTCGACCATACATGGAATTGGATGAGTCCGTTATTGTGTACAATGGTGAAAGGTTTAAACGGATCTTGGTAAAAATAGAATATAAACTAAATAAATGAACTGATTTGTATTGCAAAAAAGATCATTTTGCTACGCAACTATAACCCTTTCAACCCTATGTAATTTTAATGAATTCGACTATACATGTAATTGGATGAGTCCGTTATGGTGTACAATGGTGAAAGGGTTAAACGGATCTTGGAAAAAATAGAATATGAACTAAATCGACTGCTGCAAAAGTTAAAACTTAGGAAAGAACTACATTACTGTGTATCATTAAACATTATCTATTCCGTCTTTGCGTATTGCAGAGTTATCTTCTCTTGGGAGCAGGTATTGATTGTTACGTCACTTGTTTGTGAGAGTAACGTCATCAATTTTTGAGAAAACGACGTAATTTTCTCACACAAACCAATGACGTTACAATCAATACCTGCTCCCAAGAGAAGATAACTCTGCAATACGCAAAGACGGAATTGACTATGTTGGTATCATAATTAAAACAATAATCTATATCTTGCTACATGACACTAATTTGTCATTAGAAATACTACAACTGTATAGTGTATTCACGGAGATTATAATTCATTGTGTTGATATTTGCTGTGTATTAAATTTCAGCGCCATCGTTGATGACCGCCAATATAACGAAACTAAAAACAACCATGAATATCACCAACTATACAGTGCATTATGTAATTTGAGTGCTAAAAATGTTAAAATTAATAGAAGATCTACATGTACATGAGGTAAAGGTCATTTATAAAGTATCGGTCAGTTGTGAAGTACTAGTGTTAATAAGAAATTTGTAAGTAAAGAAATCGAAACAAGACACAAAGAAATTCAAACATATATATGTCAAAGATAAATCGAGTGAAAATATCATTCATAGAAAGTGACCAATAATTTTATATTTAAACATCTATTATTAGTTAATCATGGGACTGCTTGTGACAAGAGGGAAAGCGAATGTTTTTTTTTTATTATTAGTGTTATATTTGGAAACATAAATTGTAAATTATATAGCAGTAAGCATCATCAGCTTCTTGAAAAGGTGTTGATAACAGAAGTTCTAAAATAGCATGGTGTTCATAGCGTTTGCTTCGGGTGATAATATAGTTGAGAATAGAAATCGCGTATACCCTTAAAATATTGTAAAGTAAAACATAACAAAAATTTAACAAAGCCTCATTACAAATGAACTGAATACAAAGTCAATAACAAAATAAAAAATGCATAATAAATCTCCATGGAAACAGGAATCAAAACCCTGGTTACGTACTTTTTATCGACTTTGCATTTAGTCTCTTTGTGTTGATGCTGTGGATTGTATAATTTTAATCACAAGAGCGTGGCACATATTCACGGACCAACGGTCAGTATCGATATGTTTATTATTCAATATTCATATATACGGATTGTAGTTTGGGGATCAGCACGTCGTCCCTGTGTTTGTTGTCTGAAGCTTTGCATTTTAAAGCATATTCTTTAAATATCTGCGATGTCAATCCTCATATTTTATAACTAGAATAGATATGTGGAGTCATGCAGCAGTGAGGACGAGTTGTTATAAAGATTTAAAGCTATTTTATACACTAAAGATAGGGTATTTAAATTGTAACATGGCCAAGAAGACAAATTTAGTGAAGCTAAGTTGTCAGGTAATTTATAGTAAATGATTATTTGCAATAGTGTTCTTCTCAACAAAGTTTTATAAACGGAACTGAGAACTACACAATTTAATAGGATGCACTAAATACATTTCTAAACAATACAATCTTCAGATGTTTTTTTTTATATAATGTACTAATAAATAAAATCAGGCAAATCGATATAACATTCTGGAGTCTTGTATACAAATCTGTTAGGAAGCGTGATCTGTGACGGTGATGTTACTATGGTTAGTTTAGTTCAAATTTCAATTGAAATATACATCTGGAGTGTCAGTCATAATCAGTTACACGAAATACAACATACTGTAAATATAGACAATTTTCGCGGTGTGGACAATTTCACAAATTTAATGGTAATTTACTAAAAGTGCATTAAACACGTACTTGGTATATAGAAAATAATCACTGTAAAACACCGAGAGAAGATTAAATTGTTCAACAACAATATATTTTATAAATATAGCATTATTATGTGTGAAGTAATTGCATAATGGCTTGGCCTTCCATAATACAGTATCACTGTGGCTAGTCAGAGTAGTATGAAAAGACAATAATATCAGCAATAGAAGAGTATTAGTATTATAAACTATAAGTTAAGTACAGCGCATACAGATCAATTATAAAAAGTATGAAAGTAGTTGAGGTAGCTGCCGAAGAGAACACAGCTTTGTTGAAGTTTATGCTTCAGGTTGGATAGTAAAAAGATCATATGAGAATTAATTAGACCCAACCATGATTTATTTTACTTGAAACAGTTCGATGCCAACGAATCAATTTTAACAGACAATCATCAATTCGTATTTGCCTTTTGCCGAAAGTGACAAACCTGCATCTAAATGTAACGAGAAAAACAACTGACGGTTGTGTCTAAAATACTAGTATGTGTGTGCAAGAGAGATTGCACTTTTATGAAATATAATGATATATGCTCTACTTCAACGTACTATACATTATCTTATTTTCGTGAATATTTAAAATATCGCGGATCTGAATTCGTGAATAATAACAAATAATTTAATCTTGCTTGAAACAAGCATTTTCATTGGCTTAAAAGTTTATGTTATCAGCCCATAACGTAAAAAGTGACGTCGCCGTTTGTAACGTCGCTTTTTATTGGCTGATACAGCAGCGCAATAATTTCTAAGAGAAAAGAGTCCATCAATAAAGTTGGATTCCCACAGAGATTGTGTATAGTAGATTAAATTATAAGGATTAACTTGAATATAGTTTCATGTTATGGAGATATAACACAAAAAACCGGAGTGTTTATTTAGAGTACACTCCGTTTTTTTGTGTTATATCTCCATAACATGAACAATATATTCAAGTTAATCCTTATAATTTAATCTACTATATTAAACTTTTAAGCCAATGAAAATGCTTGTTATATACAATTTCTTTTAATGTGTCTAAATAAATAGTAATTTGCAGGATATTTTACTTCGCATTTAAGCCTCTATAATTTCTCGCCAACATAAACGATTTTCAGTATTAAGTTGTATAGTTATAAATATTTCTTACTAGTAATTTGAAATATATATTGTTAAATGTGCATGCCTTTGAATTGAAGTAGAGTGCATATTATCATTATTGCATACCGGTAAGTTGAAAAAGAATACATATTGTTATATTTGCAAATCACAAAGAAAGTATATGATTATATTTGAAAGAAGAGATATATTTATAATTGCATACCAGTTAGTTTGAGTAGAATGCATGTTACAATTTTGTATGAGTTAGTTGAAGAAAAATACATCTATTAGCGTATCAGTAAAAATGAAATGTCAGTTTTCACACCAGATGTATATTTCAACACAACATGTTAGTAGGGTTTCTTTGTTTTGTTATGATCAGTCTATGACGTCATACTTACACATTACATTGGGACATGTTGTTTTCATAGGGGTGTGGTTTTATTCTGACGAAACAAAACGAATTCCCATGCAATAAAACTAAATACATACAACATGTTTCCTCTCACTTTTATATTACAGTATAAGAGAATCTATCAATGGATGGATTTTTAGATTAAGTAGAATGTTTTATATTAATGTTTTTTAATGATTCAAATTATTAAATAATTTGTTATTTTGAAGATTTCTTTTTTGGAAAGTTTCTTATTAATATTTTTGTTTTCAGAAAAATGTGTGCAGGCATAAAACATTGGATCTACTTATGTTGAAATGTCGTTTACAAAATGAATTTTAATCACGGATAGTAAGTACACCAATGTTACCAATCATGCAAAGGGGGTAGGGAAATTTCCAAAATCCGGCTTATCTTATGAATGTAAAATTTCCTTACATTCGTGTCAAAAATGCATATTTTTCTTAACAGTTATACACATGATACAAGAGTCTTGGTAATTTAAAATCTTAAAGCAGTTTTCTTTGGAGCAAAATAAATTTCATAAATGCGGATGTTAGCTTGGGATAATGGTGGTTACTGAACCCCAGGGAACCTGTCATCCAAAGCATATTATATATCATGTTGGTAATCAAATTGGTAAAGTTACCTGGAAATGATATCTAAACATTATAACCTGTTGAATAAGTCGACATATTGATTTTAATAAATGACACAAGATGAGTTGTCATTGTCACTTTAATGATCTACTATTAAAAGGTCCCGAAAATTGAACTTCAAAACGTTTTTTCTGTACCTCCCCATTATTCAAATCCCTCCATTACGTTATTGTGCCAGTATGAAGCCAGCGATAAACAACAAACAAACAAACATATAAAGATCCATCACAGCTCTTAATTCACATTCGTCAATCGAACTAATGGGTTCATATTCGATTGTCAATTCAGATTTCCAATTATGATTTCAAGCTAATAAAACAATTAATCAAAGTTATCAACTTACCGGATCCGCCCCATTCGCATTTTGTACATCATTATTTGATAAATTGAAGAATTGTACAGGCTGCTTTCCTCCTTCTTCTGTTGTTATTTCTGTAGATTGAGCTAATTTATTATCGTATGCAAATTCATTGTCGGAACTTCCCGCCCAACTCCGACGGTAGTCGATGTCATCCGGATCCTCAGGGAGGCGATACTTCTGCTTGGTGTGTCGGCGGGAACACTGAAGAAGATAGTGCAAATGGAAAGAGATGTAAGTAAGAGATTATATGAAATTCATATTACTTTTATCAAAGACGTTTTCTTACAAAGTTGCGTTGTAGGATTTTCCATACTCCGATTCTATTATTGATATGTTTACACCTAATTTAATAGAAAGTAATGTCTTTACAACAAAACCCGGAACTGCATTTTCATTGTGCACAACTGTTCCTTTAATCGACGCTGTATCAACAAGTTTTTGATTTGTATTTAATTAACATTTACTATAAACATTGAGAACATTTCTTTTCTTCTGAGTATGAAAGCCTAGGAAATGTTTTTAATTAGGAGGTCATAAACATCATTCCGTCAAGAGAAACATTAACACACTTTCATAAATACAAACTCGATATCGGTAAGACGACCTTTTCAAAACTTTGTACATTTTTGTTTGATATACAATTTGATTTTCAAAGAAAGATAACTCACCAGTATGCAGATCATTGCTATCAGGAATATTAAAACTACTGATCCACACGCGATTACAGCAATGGCCCAGTTAGGGAAACCCTCCGTAACAATGGGGACGGTCGGGGTCGTCATAGGTGTTTTTATAACTGTAATAAATAATAAATAAAACAATCTGTCAGTTTTTTCTTTTCGCGTGAACTAACTTTCTTTTGCCATCACTTGATTTGCTATTGACAGACTGCTATTTCTATAATAATCTATATAACTTCTGGAAAAATATTCGTGAAAAATTCCAAAGCTCGTATGAAACTCCCTGCGATAAACTAAAAGTCAATAAATTGCAAAAATAATGTAATTTATAATATTGAGGAAAAATTGAAACTTTTCATAAAAAAAAAAAAAAAAAAAAGGTTTCAAATCTTGTTGCAACTGGAAATGTTCAATGCATTATCAAAAGGGTATTACTCAAGTTCAGATCCATGACAAAATATCTGGTTGTCTATTTTAAAATTGCAGGAAAATTCAAGAACATTCATCCTGCTCTGTATTCAAACAAAAGAACCAAGGACTCTAACGGAATTAGTTTGAACGTTTTCCTCAAAATCTATAAATCAAGATACGTAAAAATTGTAAAATTGTATGTACCATTATGAGATACGGATGTTTTATCTACAGTGAAATTTCCCAGCTTTCCTTCCGAGACAGCATTCTCCACAACGGTATTCATGTCGGCAGCGGTGACGGTAGTATCGCCTGACAACTGGACAGTGTAATCAACAACGACGCTTCCTTCACTATAACGAAATAAATATGAGACGAATAGGATTATGTATAAAATAATATATGAAAAAAATATTTAAAATATATAAAATAAAATGTGATAAAATTATTCAAAATATATAAAATAAAAAAATACCAAACATTTTTTAAGGAGATATTTTCTTATTTTGAATGTTATTTCGATTAATATATTTGAACCTTTAAATAAATGCTTTTAACACAGCATCAGTAATAATGAACATGGTTGAATTTATACCACATGTAACGTGTGAATATACTTAACAAATGTCAGGTGAATATATTTAAACTTGTATAAAAATCCTGTACTGTAAAATAACTTATTTCAGCGGACACAAATTTTAGCGTTTTTTCAAATTCTAACAGATTAGCGCATAAATAAATTGGCGTACTCACAGTTTGCACAATAGAAAATTACATACAGAAACTTCAAGCGACTCAATTATAATTTTTAGCAATATTTAAAGCACGAAGAGCGCTAAAATATGTACGTTTACTAACACTAGTAAAACAAATACCACAACGCACCTCTTTGATGGGACTTATATTCATGTGATAATTTGGATATAATATATATAAGAATTAATGATGAATTTTGAAAATAAAATCTTGATTATTAAATAACAGAATGTTTTGATGGTTCCACGATAATCAAGAGTTCTTCGTTCAAAACAGAACTGGATTGTGTGAGACTTGCCAATTTTGCATGAAATACAAAGTGCCACTAAGCAGTGACTGAAGGTGAGACAACAATATTTACTAGGCTTAAGGATGCACACCTCTGAGAAGTCAAAAATTTCCTGTATTAAACTTTTTTTCTTATATGGATTTTTGGAAAAAGGAGTTAATGGCATAGTAGAAAATGAAAGAAAACACTATATGTCGGTGTGTTCGTTTCTGTGCTATGATCGGTCAAAGATACCAATTTAACACAACATGTGATTTTAGGTGATTTTTTGGGTTTTGACCATTTGCGGAACAAATTCATACAATTTCTTCGAAGAATGTTATCAGATGTGTATGAATGTTTGTCGAACTGATAAAATATTATTTTCTTTTAGATTATGGAAGTAAAGTTTCTTAATCTTATTCTTTTAACTCAGAAAGACGATTTTAGTTACCCCTACCCCCTATTTTTTAATGATAAAATATTCATTTTTTTACAATTTTTTGCAGATTAAACGCTTGATATAAAAAGTTCTGGTATTAAACTTTTTTTGATATTTAATGAATTAAAAGAAAATGTGTTTCTCTTTCTAAAACATCCACAAAAAATGTGGGGGTCGGTGTTCTTCTTTTTTTATCCTATTATCATTTGTGTTATTTTTTTAACTTTTTTGGGGTCAAAAATCAAAAGTGCTTCAGTTACACTAAATATGTAAAAAAAATAATTATCAATAATGTATAATTTTCCAGTTTGCTGCATATTATTTTTTTTCATATTAAACATTATAAAGTTGTAGAGCAAAATTGAACCTACTATAATTACAACTTAAGTGATCAATCTAGTGTCAAAAAGGGTTGTTTTCTTGTCTTTTTTGAAGCCCAAGAAATACACATTAATACACATTTTCAAAATGGCCGCCGAATTGGCATTTTTTTTAAAGTCGTTTAAAAAAAAGTTCTACAAACAACAGACATCTAGTTTTTTGACATGTTTTTCAGATGCGTGTTTGCTAATAAATTTGTTCATAATTTGTTAAATATTACAAAAACCCGTTACACCAGATCAAAACGAGACTTGAACGTGATTGAAACCTCAGGAGAGTACATCCTTAACTGCATAGCTTTACTTAAGGATCTCTATCCCACCCATTGCACTCTTTTTCTTGCCTATACATAGAGTAACCTCCCCTTAACTTCCGTTTTGATATAAATGTAGCACAGTTGGGCCCCGATACTTCCACTGACCAGCAAAGGTAGCTCAATCTGTTAGAGCAATGGTACAAGGGTTCATATTCTGGTCTAGCCCTGCTGATTTTTTTTTTTAACTCGGAACACTGTTTGTTGATTTTTTTTTTATTTCATCTTTATTATTTCTCATAAAATTTTCACAGGTTATGTGATTTTCTTTTCAGAAATGATTTATCAAAGCTATACTAAAAGTCATGACGGCATAAACAGTTTCACATATTTAGTTACAGATTTAGCAGTTCACCCCTAAAAATTCATTATGAACTATTCCAACCTAAGAATTGGAGGAGTGCAAATGTGTCTGTAGGGGTGAATGAGTTAAAGGGTGTGTGTGTCACATTTTGAAAACCAAAACTTACGTAAATCGGTCAATAACTATCGCCATCAAACGATCCCCGTACTGAGCAAAATAAACTTGCTCCAACTGAAATGAACAATAGTCATTAGTACAAGGGAAAAGATATTTATGTTTCAGTTAAGGAATTGCATATAAAAATGCAATGGAAAACAAAAACATTAGACATATAACTAAAGGTAAGGACAATGTTAATTGAAAAGGTAGAAAAATATAATGTTAAAAGGGACACAACCCGAACTGAACTCACATATTTTCAGTATATTGAATAACATATTTCCTGTGTACCACCAATTAATATGATGGAATACACATATCTTTGTGACAGTATTTGCTATTCTGATCATCTAATTAATTTGTTTTCTAACAAGGGAGATAATTCATCTACTACAATATTATAACTAGAGGGATAAATCATTTCGGATTACCTTTGTAAACGAGTTTTGAAGACAAATCATAACCAATTATTAAATTTTCAGAGTCACCCGTTATTCGAATCAGAAGTTTATACAAATGTATAGAAATGTATCAAATTTACCACAAAACTTGCAACAACCGTCACTAGAATAAACGTAACTCACCTCGGGTTTGACCTGGTCACGTAAAATCTTATACTCATTGGATGTCTTCTCTGCAAGCTCTGGTACCCAGATCACCCCGTCAGTAATTCTTATCGTTGCTCTTGCCTCACTTGTCAATTCCGGTGCTGCGGTGGGTGCCTGTGTGGTGGGTGCTTGTGTTGTAGGCGCTTGAGTTGTTGGTGCTTGTGTGGTGGGTGCCTGTGTTGTAGGCGCTTGTGTGGTGGGTGCCTGTGTTGTTGGTTCCTGTGTGGTTGGTGCTTTTGTGGTGGGTGCCTTTGTTGTAGGCGCTTGAGTTGTTGGTGCTTGTGTTGTAGGCGATTGAGTTGTGGGTGCTTGTGTTGTAGGCGCTTGAGTTGTGGGTGCTTGTGTTGTAGGCGCTTGAGTTGTTGATGCTTGTGTGCTGAGTGCCTGTGTTGTAGGCGCTTGTGTGGTGGGTGCCTGTGTTGAAGGCGCCTGAGTTGTTGGTGCTTGTGTTATAGGCGCTTGTGTGGTGGGTGATTGAGTTGTGAGTGCTTGTGTTGTAGGCGCTTGAGTTGTTGGTGCTTGGGTGGTAGGTGCATGAGTTGTGGCCACTTCAGTGGTTGGTGCTTCAGTTGTAGGCGCTTGAGTTGTAGGTGCTTGTGTGGTAGGTGCTTGAGTTGTAGGCGCTTCAGTGGTGGGTGCTTGTGTTGTAGGCGCTTGAGTTGTTGGTGCTAGTGTGGTAGGTGTTGGTGTTGGTGTTGTTGGCGCTTGTGTTGTGGGTGCTTGAGTTGTCGGTATTATCGGCGATGTGATGTTCGATGTTGCAGTTGTCGAGGTAGAAGACGTGACATTTGGAGTTACAGTGCTGGACGTTTGAGGTGAAGGTGGAATCGGGGTTGTTAAAGGTGCTTCCGTTGAAGTCCTTGTTGTCGTTGCGGACGTGCTGCTGGGTTGTGGAACAGCAGTTGTTATTGCTATGGTTGTATTTGCCGGAGATGACGTAGTGACAACAGTTATGTTTGGTGCTCCGGTAGTAGCTGTTCCTTGAGTAGTGACTGCAGCTGTCGATGTACTATTTGTTAGTGGGTCGATCGTTGTCGACGTTTGTTGTATTGTTGGTACTGTTGAAGGAACGGAAGTGGAAGGTGCAGAGGTAGCATTGGCGTCATGTGACGTTGTCTGGGGCATCATTGTAGTTGGGCCAACAGTAGTTATATTTCCTCTTTCGGTTGTTATTACAACTGGCGTTGTCGACTTCACAGTTGTAGAAAAGGGCGGTTGTGATGTAGTGTTTTGTCGATCTGTAGTTGGGACTGTTATCACTGGACCGGAAGTTGTTGTTGTTGTTGAGAGCATAGTGGTACGGGCAGTGGTTGACACAACAGTAGATGGACCCTCTGTGGCATTTGAGGGCATGGCCGTCGATGTGACGTTCGCAACAGGTTGTGACGTAGTGGACGCTTTCATTGTCGTTGATGCAGTTGTCACTGTATCGTTAGACGTTGGTGTCGTAGTAATTGGCATGGACGTTGTGATTTTTGTTGTTGAAACACCTGGGACGATAGTTGACGACATCGGTCCTGTTGTTGTCGTTGTACCATTTGTTAAGGGCATCATCGTTGTCGATGTGTGCGGTATTGTGGGTACTGTTGTAGAACCGGAAGTTGCAGGTGCAGATGTAGCATTGGCGTCATGTGACGTTGTCTGGGGCATCATTGTAGTCGGGCCAACAGTAGTTATATTTCCACTTTCAGTTGTTATTACAACTGGCGTTGTCGACTTTGCAACTGTCGCGTTGTCCGTAGAGACATTGTTCACTGCTGTGGAAGTAGGCGGGTGTGAAGTAGTGTTCTGTTGATCGGTTGGTGGGACGGTTACTACTGGACCGGAAGTGGTGGAAAGCATTGGTGTAATTGATGTGGTGGATGCCACCGTCGAATGACCTATCGTGGCATTTGAAGGCATGGCTGTCGACGTGACGTTAGCAGCAGATGCAGTTGTCATTGTTCCGTTGACGTTCGGCGTCGTAGTATTAAGGTTAGGTGTTGGCGTCGTAGTTGTTGAACCACCAGTGACGACAATCGTGGATGTCGTATTTGCAGATGTTGATGGTATTGGTCCTCCTGGTGTCGTTGGCATTGGTGTTGTCGTGGAAGGTGCCTCGGGGGTTGCAGACGCCATTGTCACAGAACTCGATACGGTTGGCATAATAGCAGAGGTTGATGCATCTACGACACTTGCAGAGGGGGCTTCTGTAACAGGTGACGAGGTTATGATAGGTGTCACTGATGATGTAGGCGTAGCAATCGTTGATGTCACAACCGCTGAAGCCGTCATTTGCACAGATGATGGCACGAGTACCGTTGTCGACATTGACATAACGAAAGATGAAGGTGCTGACGTAACTGATGACGACATGGGTGCAGTCATTGAGCTTGACACAACCGAAGAGGAAGGTGCTGCCGCAGCTGATGATGACATAAGTGCTGACATTGAGCTAGACATAATCGAAGATGATGGCGCTGGCGTTACTGATGACGAGATTGGCGCAGACATCGAGCTTGACACAACCGAAGATGATGGCGCTGGCGCAGCTGATGACGACATAGGTGCTGACATTGAGCTTGACACCATCGAAGATGATGGCGCTGGCGCAGCTGATGACGACATAGGTGATGACATTGAGCTTGACAAAACCGAAGATGATGGTGCTGGCGCAGCTAATGACGACATGAGTGCTGACATTGAGCTTGATACCATCGAAGATGATGGCGCTGGCGCAGCTGATGACGACATGGGTGCTGACATTGAGCTTGACACCATCAAAGATGATGGCGCTGGCGCAGCTGATGACGACATAGGTGATGACATTGAGCTTGACAAAACCGAAGATGATGGTGCTGGCGCAGCTAATGACGACATTGGTGCTGACATTGAGCTTGACACAACCGAAGATGATGGTGCTGGCGCAGCTGATGACGACATTGGTGCTGACATCGAGCTTGACATAACCGAAGATGATGGTGCTGGCTTAACTGACACTGATGACGTCATTGCGGTAGAGGGTGAACTCACTAATAAATGTGTCGACATACCAGCTGAAGATGGTAATGGTGTTGTGTAAACTGTGGAGCTAGACGACTGCGGTAGTTCAGTGGTCATACTATACACTGAAGCTGACAACGATCCCGATTGTACATGTGACGTCATCATGTCATTTGAGGATTGAACCATTCCAGAGCTGGTCGCCATCGTTGCTACATGTGATGATGAAACGGAAGACCTAACATCAGATGTGAGGCTTGACGAAGCTGGAACTTCAGAAGTATACATCGAACCTGACGACGTGACTTTCGAGGTTTGCATATCTGCACTGGATGAAGCTATCGATGGACTTTGTGTATATGACGTCATAGTTACGTCACTTGATGACGTAGGCGTCGTTTGCGTTGAACCTTCCATTTTCGTACCTGCAAGTGAAATGTTGAAGTATAGAAAGAAATAATTTTGGAAACTATTAAATATCGTGCGTAACAGCTACATGTTTAAAGGATATTATATAAACATGTCATTATAACGGAATTACTAAGACTTCACAATATGAACATGTTCGCGTAATTTACGAGGGTCTATCGTGACTTTAGATAAAATATTTCTCATAGGGAAGATATTGTTGTTCCTTTCGCTTAAGATGTAGGAGCTTTTTGTGAAAATAAGTGTTCGCGCAAAGGAAATGTAAATGACATAATGCATCAAGCGATAACTTATAGTTATTAACTACGATATCATATAAATATAGAATTTAAATATTTTAAACTCATTTAAATGTCCTGACTCAGACCTCGTTATACTGCCAATATTTGTGTCAATATAAAATTGACGTTATAAAGAGGTCGGTGGTAATTAGTGGGAGTAATATAAATCGAAAGTTCTTTCCTTTTAGGGAGTGAAGTTATGGACAATATTGACAATCATCGTAAAATAATAGGATATTGTAATAGATGTAGTACTAATACTTACTGGAATACGTGCCAAGACTACTTGCTATAGAAATGCTATGGAAGGTCGAAGGAGCAGAGGAAAGGTGTGAGATCTCTGGTGATGAGACAGAATGTTGCGATACAGTGACAGACATGCTGTACAGAGGCGATACGTCAGAGGAAGAAACACTATGTTCACTCATACCGGACCAAACAGAAGAGGAAGGCACCACGCTTGTTGCGGAAACATCCAATGAGAAATCATCAATGTTTATTGTACTGCTAGTAATATCACGTGGTATAGATGACGCACTGCTAGCAATATCACGTGGTAAAGATGACGTAATACTATTAATATCACGTGATATGGAAGACGTCATCATACTGTCACTTGAAGTGATTATTGAGGAGTCATCCGACCTCATAACAGATGTCGCCTCGTTCAGAACTGTAGAAGTTATTGAAATGTCTTCACCTACACGTCCTACCGACGATTCTATGCTAAGGATGCTAGAAGACTCGGCTTTCGGAACTACCTTTATAGATAGTGTACTTAGCCCTGAAGCCAGTGTGATTTCACTTGATGCCACAGCTTCAGATCCTTCATGAGAAGAGAATAAACTACTGGAAACTTCATATATTGACAAGAATTGACTTGAAGACACCACCGAATGCAATGCCGTTGTACTAGAAAAGTCTTCGCGTGAAGCAATTTCATTACTATTTGAAGCAATTTCAGATGCAACAATGGTACTAGAAGCAGCCATAGTTGAACTTACACCTAAATTAGATATGGTACGAGTTGGATATATGCTAAGTTTAACTGACTCAGATGAAGTGCTATCAGCCGTCATGCTAATGTGCATTTTATCTGACTTTGACTCAACAGTGTTGGTACCTGATGCGATGCCTGAATTTTCACTAGAAGAGCGTGTCTCTTGTAAAGATGAGACTAGAGTGCTTGATGTAGAGATGATACTACTTGACATATCTTCTGAATGCGTGCCCGTGATAGGTGTTTGGACAGCGTCCGTAAATGATGTGGTTTCAGTTGGATACATGCTACTAACAGGGAAAGTAGAATCAATCATTACACTAGCAGTCTGGGGTTCTGAATGTGTACGTGTAGGTTGAGTGTGAGGAGCAAGAGCAGGTGTGGCCTGGACAGTATTGTCTTGAGATAGGCTGGTTTGTTGTAGTATATTTGTGGATTCTGACAGACTAGAATGCCGTGAAGCACTTTGCTCTAGTAACGTGTCTGTCTTTGTAATCGTCGTACCAGGAATATTTAAGGTCGAAGTATGCATTGATTGAGGTGTTGACATAGTTGACTGTTTGCTTTTCAGTGACGAAGTAGAATCAAAAGAAGTGGGCAGATGGGAAGAATCTGACTGTGTGTCGGTATAACTTGTGTGTAACAGTGATTCCGTCACCATTGTTGACTGATCAGCTATTTTCTTTTCTTCTGTAACTACTTCAAGTTCCGTCACAATAGGTAACGAAATGATAAGACTAGCCCTGGCATACACACTAGAGGAAGATGCGGACAAAGTTGGCAATAAATTATTCGTTTCAAAAGTTGATGCGTGCAATAACGGATCAGTTATGATGCTAGAAGAAGTTATCAAACTAGATGTATCGACAACTAGTGAGGAAGTCGCCGAAGACAAAAGAATTTCACTTATAAAAGTCTCATCCACCTTGGTGCTGAGAGTCACAACATTGTGATTAGTAGTAAGAATAGCTGTTGGAACAATAGACGAACCTTGATGTACAACACTTGAAATAATGGAAGAACTTTTGACCACATCACTAGAAATAACGGTTCCTTGTATAACTTCACTAGAAATTACAGAAGATTCTTCCAGAACATCACTAGAATCAACGACGTCACTTGAAGATAAGACGGATGTTGATTCAGGCGAAGTGACTACTTGATCTAAACTAGAAGACGATGTTGATATAATAGAACTATATATAGGGTGAGAAATATTTGAAGAAGGCATTGTTTTAATAACGGAATGAGAATTACTTGAAGAGGATGTTGGCATCACGGAAGTAGATAGGTATAAGGATGATGTTGATAAAACTGAGGAAATATCGGTAGATAACGTGGACATAACGGAAGAAGATAGAGTGTCTGATGCTGTTGCCACAACAGAAGATATAATGGATAGAGGTGTTGACACAACAGAAACAGATGAACTTAATGGAGGTGCTGACACAACAGACAAAGATAGACTGGACGGTGCTGTTGACACTTCAGCAGCCGAAAGACTGGGGAGGGCTGTTTGCCTAGGAGATACACTGGAGGGTGATGTTGAAACTTCAGTGGAAAACAGACTGGAAAATGGTGTTGACACAACAGATGGGGATGAACTGGAGAGGGATGTTGACACAACAGACAAGGTACTGGAGAGCGATGTTGACACAACAGACGAGGATGGACTGGAAAGGGATGTTGATACAACAGACGATAAAGGACTGGAGAGGGATGTTGACATAACAGACGAGGATGGACTGGAAAGGGATGTTGATACAACAGACGATGAAGGACTGGAGAGGGATGTTGACATAACAGACGAGGATGGACTGAAGAGCGATGTTGACACAACAGACGAGGATAGACTAGAGAGGGATGTTGACACAACAGACGAGGATGGACTGGAGAGGGATGTTGACATAACAGACGAGGATGGACTGGGGAGGGATGTTGACACAACAGACGAGGATAGACTAAGGAGGGATGTTGACACAACAGACAAAGATAAACTTGAGAGGGATGTTGACATAACAGACGAGGAAGGACTGGAGAGGGATGTTGACACAACAGACGAGGATGAACTGGAAAGGGATGCTGATACAACAGACGATGAAGGACTGGAGAAGGATGTTGACATAACAGACGAGGAAGGACTGTGGAGGGATGTTGACACAATAGACAAGGATGGACTAAAGAGCGATGTTGACACAACAGACGAGGATAGACTAGAGAGGGATGTTGACACAACAGACAAAGATGGACTGGAGAGGGATGTTGACATAACAGACGAGGATGGACTGGGGAGGGATGTTGACACAACAGACGAGGATGGACTGGAAAGGGATGTTGATACAACAGACGATGAAGGACTGGAGGAGGATGTTGACATAACAGACGAGGAATGACTGGGGAGGGATGTTGACACAACAGACAAGGATGGACTAAAGAGCGATGTTGACACAACAGACGAGGATAGACTAGAGAGGGATGTTGACACAATAGACAAAGATGGACTTGAGAGGGATGTTGACATAACAGACGAGGATTGACTGAAGAGGGATGTTGACACAACAGACGAGGATAGACTAGAGAGGGATGTTGACACAACAGACAAAGATGGACTGGAGAAGGATGTTGACACAACAGATGAGGATGGACTGGAGAGGGATGTTGACACAACAGACGAGGATGGACTAGAGAGGGATGCTGACACAACAGATGATGATGGACTTGAGAATGATGTTGACATAACAGATGAAGATAGACTTGAGCGGAGTGTTGACACAATAGACGAAGATGGATTGGAGGTTGAGGTTGACATAACTGGCTCAGACAGACTGGAGAGGAGTGTCGACACAAAAGAAGCTGTTATACTGGATGGTAATGTTGACACAATAGTAGACGATGATGTTGATAACATGGGAGTTGAAAAACTAGAAGATTGCGTTGGTGATATTGATGGAGAACTGTTAGAAACTGATGCAGACATACTTGACGGAGAGAAGTACGAGGATGACGTGGACATTTCTGAAGTAGAAAAGATGGATGAAGATGCTGACATAATGGAAGAAATGTCGGAAAATGATGTTGAGATACCTACAAGAGACGTATCGGTCGATAAAGCTGAACTTGCTTCTGAAAAACTCCTGGAATATATTGAGGATGGAGCGGAATGGGAACTTAAAGTAGCTACTGTTTCAGAAGTTGCTAAAGGAACTATACCAGAGCTCGAAATAATATCTACCATCGAATGTGATGCTGCCATTTCGGAACTTAAACTAGAAGCTAAATCCATGATTTCAGTACCAAATATAGTGGAACTTGATGAAATAACTTGAGCAGATACTGTATCGGATCTTGAAGTAGATACAGGAGTTGTGTGGGATATGTAAGCTGAACTAGGTTCTATCTCACTACTTTGGTGCATAATGGAGTGTACACTAGACGTAGAATACAGGCTAATGGTTGGAGATAATGGCATTGAGCTTGCACTTCTAGACAAGGTCTGTTCACTCCATAAATCTGTGTGTATTCTTGATGTTGTCATTTGTGTGCTGAAAGTATTTGGCTGACTATGTAACGAGGAAGACGATTCAGAGCCCAGGTACACATGCGTGTTGATTGTGTCAGGGGAAGACGACACAACATTTACTTGTGTAGAAGTCAACAATAAACTTGTTTCAGTGGCTGTCGACTCCACGCTTGTTTGACTGGAAATTGACGCCACGCTTGTTTGAGTGGAAATTGACGCCACGCTTGCATGAGTAGAAGACATCACTACACTAGTTTCAGTGGCAGACGACACCACGCTTGAGTGAGTGGCAGACGACACTACGCTTGAGTGAGTGGCAGACGACACCACGCTTGAGTGAGTGGTAGACGACACTGCACTTGCCTGTAAGGCAGTCGGCACTTCGCTTGCTTGAAAATCTGAATATGTACTTTGTGTTTCTGGTTGCATAGTTGTAATTCCAGACATTGAATTCGGTTCTGGTATAGAAGATGTCATGCTCGGATTTTGTTCAGAAACAGAAGCTGTGGCAACAAATTGAGAAGTAACATATGAGCTGGACATTGAAATCAGTGAATCAGACGAAACCGAATGATCTGTCATTACACTTCTAAAAGAGTCGGATGCCTTAGAGCTCGATATATGTTCGCTTAATACAAAAGGTTTAACAGAATCTGAAGAAGTACTATCCTGCACCGAACTGGACATAACTTGATTTGTCATTTGAGTTGACATAGACAGTATGGTTTCTAATTCGGCAGTACCACCTGAAGTTCTTTCAGTAGAAGTTGAAGAAGGAAGGAGAGGAAATAACTCCGTGGAAATTGTAAAAAAGGAAGATAACTCCGTGGAAATTGTGAAAAGGGTAGATAACTCCGTGGAAGGTGTAAAAAGGGTAGATAACTCCAGTGATGTAAAGTCAGGCAGTTGAGAAGAAGCTATAGGTGAAATTCAGACAGAAAGAACGAATAAGTGAAATTAAAAGATTAATGTTAATGTGAAAATATGTAAGCTAACCTTTGACCCATTGATTTGACTTTACTATGGGTAACGTTTAAGGATCCCTGAACCACTGCCAGCAACTGTTAAAACTACTTTTCCGGAATGGCTATAGCGATAGTAAAACATTTCGCAAAAGAAAATTATATCTAGGGACTTTTATCAAAAATCATATAACAATAAAGATGAAATGAGTGTAAAAATGAGGTGGGGCTTGACCGGGATTCAAACCCTTTGCTCATATACCTTTATACTATCGCTCTAACCGAATGACTTCCTAGCCAGGTGCCGAAATGTGCAACAGTTTTATCTAAATCGAAATTAAGGGGAGAGCACCGTATTTATAGAAAACCCATAGTGCAGTGGAACAGGCATCCTTAAGAAGATTATATTACATATTTTTTTACAGAAATCTAAGCAATCGTTGCCTCCATACCTACAGAGGTCATCTTTATCCAAATATATCAACTTCATTGTTGTTTTTTAACAATGTGTGAATGGGCGCCTTGTAAACACCAGGGCCAGTATTCATGAAACAGTTCCCATGCTCAAGCAGACAATTTTATTGTAACTCACTAAAATCATGTCAACGATCAAAAGGTCAAATGTAATCATTGAAAAAATTACTTGTCTGTACGTCTCTCATTTGTTTTTTATTAATTTATAACCAGAACAAGAAATTAGGCTTCCGCACAAAAATCCATGCTTGAGCACGAGAACGGTTTCATGAATTCCTTGTCTTATTCTGAAAAAATATCCGTCAAACAAATCTTTCTTCATATTTTCACTGATGTTATCGATACTGAGTTTAATTTGTTTTGTCTTGATTTTTTTTTGAAATGTATATGGTCATAGGATTTCCGTAACAATGTCATGCGTTACTCAGTTATCCCGTCTTTGCGTATTGCAGAGTTATCTTCTCTTGGGAGCAGGGATTGATTGTTACGTCACTTGTTTGTGAGAGTAACGTCATCAATTTTTGAGAAAACGACGTAATTTTCACACACAAACCAATGACGTAACAATCAATACCTCCTCCAAAGAGAAGATAACTCTGCAATACGCAAAGACGGAATAGAAAGGGGGATAACTCTATCGGGTATGGAAGCAATCACGTAAAACATTAATATCATAAGCAAAGTAAGATGAGTCATTGTGTATATAGACAATGCAAAACAAACACTTTGAAGATCACAAAGGTTATTGTTAAATCGTGTTGATAAATTAAAAGGCAAGCATGACTAACATAAAAGAGAATTACGTGGCTAGCATTTATTAACTTGTATTTTTGTTTTTGTTTTCTTAGTTCGTTAATTAATTGTTTATATATGAATATGATATGCAAAACAACCACAAATGTTAGAGTAATATACCATATCCACTGCATGACACTGTATATATATATCATCAGGGTTTGGCATTATTTTTATTTGCTAGTCCTACGTTAATGTAACTAGTCCGCCCAAAATCTCCCTACGAAAACATTTCAGGCACTAAACAAAGATATGGTGTAATTATCATGCAATGCATCTGTATTTTAAACAGTTTTCACAAAATGGAATATAATATATCAAATATTATCTTTTTTGCAAATCTAAAGGACTAGTTCGGTTAGGTGGTTCACTAGTCCTTGCTGAAATAGACTAGAGAACTAGTACTAGTGTCAAACCCTGAATTATTTTTCTTTGACAGGAAGAGTACAATGTGGATATATTTATATTGTATTGTTAATAATTACATCTACATTGTATTACACCATACAGTCAATAAATAGACAGAATCAATTAAGTCAACCAAAATGCAAAACTTTTCACTGCAATAATGTAAAATTATAAAACGTGCATACAACCAAATATTACAAGGAGACGGAAGAAAATTTGTAAACAAATAATTACCTGTAACCATGGTAGCAATTGGTGATGTCATTTCCGTCGAAGACAATACTGGCGGAAGTGTATTTGTTGGAACAGATGATTCTGCTGGCAACAGGCTGCTGGATGGTGCTGAAGCGCGTACACTAGATGACATTGTTGGTGCAGGGGAACTCGTTTGAATTGGTCCAGCAACACTAGATGACGTCATTGGTTTAACAGATGACGACAACAGTGAATGCGTGACGCTTGACGACATCATAGATGAAGACAACATAGACTGCATAGCCGAAGCAATATCTGATGATGGTTTAGCTACATCAGATGATGTCGGTTGCTGAGTGGAACTTGTTGGCATAATTGATGTAGCAGAACTCGATTGGGCTGATGCAGCAACTCCGGATGACGTCACTGAATTCAATGATGACGACATCGATGAATGTGTTACGCTTGATGACGCCACAGTTCTGGAGGAGGATGTGGAGAGTGCAGGCGTTGGTACATTTGACGATGTTTCAGAAGGCGCAATACTTGAAGACATCGACTGACTTATACTTGTCATTTGAGAGCTAGAGGCGTGAACCATTTCTGAAGAACTGGATGACTGTGTCACGCTTACACTCGAGGACATGTCTCTTGCTTGTGAACTTGATGACTGAACTGGTGTGCTCGATGGTTGTTGATCCATTTGTGAACCTGAAGATTGAACACCAGATGGTGTTGAGGACTGTGACGTACTAGACGATTGGGTGGTCTGAGAATTTGAATTCTGGACCGACTGTTGTGCACTAAGTGACTGTGTTGTTTGTTGTGAGCTAAACGTAACAACAGATGTTGCACTTGAATGATCAAAGTTCGATGAACTGTAAGACCCTTGTGACGTCACTGAGGTACTTGTTTCCGCCATTGTTGACGACGATACCGAGGATGGCTTGATGATATTTGATGACGTCGACACAGGTGTCGTCACTATCACCGATGTCGTCATCGATGACATCACAGAAGAGTCACTTGACGACTGAAGTGACGCCGTACTAGTCATTGTCCCAGTCGTATCGTTCATTGATTGAGCTGAAAGAATACAAAAAAATACACATATAAGGTATTGGACAAAGAATAATTATCAAGTGTTGATGATGCATGGTACAATGTATTAAATGACGTAAGTTCATAGCGGTAACCTAGCAACTGTTACTATAGATACTCTCATCCAACAAGGTCGTTATAATAAATAACATGCATTGCAAACTGAGTTTGAGAATACCGCTGTTCTGCATGTAGATAAGCTTTCAGTTAACTTCAGTGTGCCTTTGTGTTATTATTGCCCATTTTTATTGCATAGGCTTGCATATAAACTGCTCTGCCATTTTTAGTGCTTGCTTACTTTTATGTGTGCTTTCTCTATTGTTAGTTTGCTTGAATGATTTTGCTTTTATGTTGTTGTATAATTATGCTTGTATGTATTCGGTTAAAAGCTCATTAGAGCTTATGTTTGTAGTTTGTAACTATCTCGAATTTAAATAAAACTTTCATATATATTCATATAAACTTAAATTCCACCTCGACCTACATCATCCCCCACCCCACCCCATCACCACCATTCATCCGTGCAACCAGCTTGACAATCTGATTTGTTGACCACTGTTTATAATATATTTGTTGACCACTGTTTATAATATATTTGTTGACCACTGTTTATAATATAAGTTCACTAATGGAATTTACTTTCGGTAAGCCTTGAGTAGTTAAGTTTGGTGAGCGCTCTTCTTGTTGTTTGCAAGCTTTTCAAACAGTTGTAAAAAGGACAATACAACTTCTTTTCTTGGAACAGCTAGACGTAAACTGTCAACCGGGAGGCATTTATTATTAACATCGATGCTGATTTGTCAATATTAAAACTGATGAGTGATAAGTAGGCGCAGACAAAAAAAACATAACTATGAATAGAAACAGTAGAACTCTTTTAACATATGAGATACAAAAACAACTCTGTCCATATAGCAACACCCCCCGTAGCAACATACCAAAATGTCGGCCGCGTGATGTTTATAGTTAACGGGTCACATGTCAATCCATCAAAATCAGACAGATATTGAGTGGTCAGTTCAGGTCAAAGTAATTGCTAAGTAGTGTCCGAAGGCGTTTTACTTATATCTTGACCGCAGTTCATGTAGTGTTTTGGCTGGAGTATTGTTTGCGGCAGAACATCTATACCGGTATGTTTGGAACCAAATGTGCAAGTCATCGTTATTGTGTTTGTGTGTGTGAGAATTTGGCATCTGAATTGATGAGGAAATAAACAAAATCAAGAATAGAAGTGATTTCAACAGCAAAATTGTTAATTTTGAAAAATTTAATCAATGAAAATAACTTTTTTCTCTCATAAAGTTTCAGCAACGTTATATGAGCTAGCTGTGTGGCGTTTTGCTCATGATGGAAAAGGGTTGAATAAGCTTAGTCAACGATGGATCAATGATCTGAACATCAGGTTCGTATTCTTTGTTTAAAGTGAGAATTGGCTAACCTGTTTTATACCTAGGATTTATTTGTTCATAATTCTGAGGTTGTTAAAAAAGTATAACAGCCAAAGAATATGAGGGGGAAATTCTGCTTTATCGGTAACAAAAAAGCCGTTCCAGCAATGCAGTTTACTTGCTCTAGGTTAAGCAACATGAAGCGTTGCCATTGGCTGCATGGGAGCACGTGGTCTTGTAGTATCGACATTTTTGAATGATAATTGATATAAGTTAACGAGCAGTCGATTTTTGGGAACAAGGGATTGCTTGTTTAATAACCAGGCGTGACAAAATCCATGCGGACATTTGTAGCCGACAGTTAGTCTGTTTGTCGGTCATCATGACGTGTCACGTGATCTATTAACCGGCGGTGAGGAACAGAGGGTACATATTTCTCGGCAATATAACTGGCAGAGATGTCGTAATATAATCATAAATTTGACAACTACACCTGTTTATGGCCAGTAGTAATCACGTGTTTAGTGATCATTATGGGATATATATCAACACACAATTGACTATTAGGGAATGTAACTACCTGAGTTTTTTAATAAAAAAGACTGAATAATTGCTTTTCGGAAGTATAAATTTGCTTGAGGTGGTTTTGAAATGAAAAAGTTATGTTTTTCATATATCATATTAGGAACTTTTATTTGATAATCCTTATCATGATAAATTATGCAAGAAATCGGTAGGTAAATTAGCTAACTACGCTAAAGATACGTACAAAGGAAGCCGATAAACACGACCTGGACATGCAACGGAAAGGACGCTTTGGTTGCTATAGTTACTTTTTATGGTTACCAACTTGACACAGGGACCGGACACACCGATGTTATCAATAGTTATTAATACAGTGTGCATGTAGGTTTAATGTTATTTCGTAGTCCCATTGTTTTACAAGACTTTCGTTAGACTATCGACAGGTGTTTACGTATATAGTGGTAAGTTTTCTGTACCACACTGTAGCCAGAAAAGTAATCGCAACATCTCGGCTAATTCCGTCAAGACTCGGTCGAATGTCAGAGAAACAGAAAATAGTAATCACTTCAGTATCTACTTTAAATTCCTACACCTGTTACTACAAGTTTACACACGTGGCATTTGATTGACAGTTTAACCTCCTCATTAATGTCACGGTTTCAATCCATTAATTACTATCAATCAGACTTTTTTCCCGAACCAAATACTGTAAATATAAACTGGAAGCTGCTTTTTACCGGCATGGTCATATATAGCTTTGATTCTTCGGAGTAATATATGAATTATATAGGTTTTTTCCTCAACGGCAGCTACATGTATATTTTGACGCGTTGAGAGAAAGATGCATGTATGCTACGAAGTCAAAGCATTTAACCAGTTACGGTAAATCCTATAGTTGCACATTATTATGAAATTTTAAAAATCAAAGCACGAACAAATAAACGCTAACGTAACTAGTATAGAAAACGAAAGTAGAGGATCGTCTGTTCGTCTATAGTGACAGGTGTCGGCTATCGCAGGGAGCGTGTATGATTAATAAGTGTGATGTTCATAAAAATGGTAGCTCACCTGAAACCCTAATTAAGTACACCTGTCACCTGCAATCTCAGTCGCTAACTAGCTTCGTCTGTGTCTAGCCAAGTAAGTATATGTTATATGCAATGTAGACGTATAAAACTGCTTATTTTATCTGTCTTACGGAACTGTGTCCCACATATTGCTGAAATCGTTTTCAGAAAATTATTCAGTTATCAAAATTATTTAATTTTAGTGTGCATTAAGTCTTGTTTTAAATATGTAACACATTGTCCAACTATGTCATTTCAAATGTACTTTAAATCATGAAAAACACATTAATGCAGTTTTTTTTACAAGTAGAGTGAATGCTATTCTAATCGTTCTTTTCCCATAAACGACTTATTTTACTGGGTCATAAGAACATTTTAGTACGTTTCGGGGACACTTATATTCTGGCCAACAAGAAAAAAATTGTTGTAAAATAAATCATTCTTGTTGTTCGGTGTGGAAGCACACATTCATATACTTACTGCATTTATAACAGCTTGTGTATCATAATATACGTATTTGAAATGTTTACCCAGACTCTCTTTCATACAAATAGTTATTATACAAAAGCAAGGTTGACCTTCCCTTCCTCTTACATATATATATACATTCTGAAATGTTTTCACAAAACACAAACAATTACACCTAACCGATATAATGCCATACAGCGTGTACATAAGAATTTTGCAATCCTAACAGGCAATCTTCGTTTTTGCCACACCTCTTTGAAGCCAAACAAACGTTTTAATGGAGCAGACAAACAAGTTTTTTTAAACAACAATAGAGTTTAAAATGCCATAATAAATCCCAAAAACCTCAAGCTGTGTGAGTCTATTACGTTACGACCCACCTAGCTACCCGAACCTGAATAGTAATGCGTAATTAATGTAACCTGATAAATCCTACCGTTGCTGTTAGGAGGTTTTTAATCAATTGAAAATCGACGACGTGAATCTGATTGAAAGGCGAGTATCGTTTGATAATGTCGTTCCTACAACCCCCTTTAACCGATTTCGAGGTGGGGTCTTCCATTTAATAGTATAGTTCTGTTTGATATTTACAAAGATTACCCGAATTATACGGAGCTTTTTCATGAATGAAAGCACACAGGTTTAAACAGGCCGACCGCAACGTTTTTATACAATACGGGAAATGGGTGTAGCGACCGAAATCAAAATACCGGTTTCTTCAACTGTTAAAACAGCATTAAAAATATAATTAATAGAATACATGTACGAGGGTGTCTATTTCTTTAAAACACGTCATACATTTTATTGCTATATAGTTTGTGAATTAAGTCACGAATAGCCTTAAAAATATATAGATATTTTGATTTAAATTTAGAAATTTAGACTCAATATTATGTATGCAAAGACACGTGTAGAGGTTTGTGTCACGGTATAACGGATGAATATCCATTCTGATTGGTTGGTTTTTGACAATGTGTGTTTGTATAAAACACTAAAATGGTAACATTTAATCTTTTTTTACCTTTTTTTTTTTTTTTTTCTTAATATCAGGGCGTCATTCCAACGGTAAATATTTAAATTATCGTTGCCCATACAACCGAAAATAATCGGTCGTGAAGCGTCGGTAAACGCCACTCAAACAAACAGCTGAAAGAATTATACAGAATATTTTTCTATGCAATAAAACCATGAAACTAAGCATTTCAGATTTTTGACGCAAAACAAAAAAATGTGTTTTGATTTAATTTTCAGACATATCCCCACAGCCAGCACTAGTACACGTGGACAAGCACCTTTATCACATTGACAAGATAAATCTCGTATACTGTCATTAAAACTGACTAAATATGAATACTCGGGCATGTAAATCCAAGTAGTAGTATTTTAGGACAAAAAAAACCCCTATATTTTCTTGTAAAGCTCTTAGTGCCTATACAATGCAGCTGAACACTTTTCGCTAACTTTACTGAAACAAGCACTGGTAAAATTTGAAACGCTGTTTCTCTGTCTCCAACCTTTGTAAAATGTTTTGTAAAAT